TGGCTGTATCCTCTATATTGTCGAGCTTTTCTTGAAATTCATGTATGCTGTCGCTTGGCGTCAGGTAGCAGCTAATTACTGTGAAAAGGTCGCAACTGGCCCAGACGAAATCGTTGCTGTTCCCTTTACCTGTGATGGTGATTTTACTTCTTGGGGCTAGCCCTATAGCTGCGGTTGAGCTGCTACCTTCTAACCAGGTCCCACTCTCCTTCTTTTTATATTGCTCGCTTATGATGATTAAGTCGTAACCGTTCTCTGTCACCATTTGCGAGAGTAAAGCGTTACCAGCCTTGCATCTATGCATATTGGCCTGTAGAATATTCATTTATTCTGATGATTCCTATATACTGTACATTTTGCGGGGCCCGGGATATGGTCGACTTTTTCGTGTTTAGCCTCTTCGTAGAGGCAGCATGAAGGGGGTTTTGTGCACTCTTTTAATTTGTGACCTGGTTGGCCGCATTTCATGCAAGTACCTTGCCCTCTCCTGTCGGGCCCTTTGCAGTCCCAGGTCAAGTGCCCTGGTCCAAAGCAGCGGTAGCACCTTTCGGCGTTTTCTTTCAGTCACAGCCTGCAGTTAACCCAGCCAATTTTAATGCGTGTCTTTCGCATCAGTGTGTCAGCTTTATCCTGATGAAGCGTTATATATTTCCTTACCTGCTCTCTTGTGTTAGGTGCAGTTATGTTTATTGTCAAGTCTTCGATGCGGTCCCGTACCACTTCTTTTACGGCCTCTGCGACTTCGTTTTTTGTTGTGAGTGAATCGAGGTCTCTAATCTCAATACTAGCCTTTGGTTTAAGGTCGGCCACTGTTGCGGATTTTTGAAGGGTGTGCTTGAGTGTCTCACAGAAGTTGGCTTTTGCAGTCTGTCCCTTCTCCAGCTCTAATAGTAGCGCCCCGGCTCTTGTTTTGCGGATCCCTTTAATAACTAAAATATTATCATCTATTTCTTTAAGATTTACTTTGCTACGGATGTTCTTAAGGACCTCGGCATAGCTATTGCCTTCTGTTGGCGACGTTAATGACGGCCTCTGATTGTCGCTTGGCTTTATAATATGCTCTCTGACTTGCAGCTATATTCTTCCCTTGTTGCCTCTCTTCTGTGGTTTTGAGTTCTTCCACCACCTTGCCTCCTTCTGCATGGGTCTTCTTCGTCCTTTTGTGCAAAACTTTCTGCCACTGGCCCTCCTTTTCATTCCGTGGTCGCACTGTTTCTCGAGGCTCCACAGGGCTTGTCGCGCGCCGCTTCGAAGTTATTGGCTCGGGGGTCGGGATGCGCCTGCTTGAATGTCCCCGTCTTTTCTTGGCTTCAGCGATGAGCCAGTTTCTACGGTAACTCTTGATTACGTCAAAGAGTTCGTCTGTTTCGGTGAGTTTTGAGTGGCCCGAGGTTCTTCTATGATGGCAGCTGGGGTGCGCTTCCCTTCTTCTTGTTTTGCTGATCCTATTTGCGTAGCCGGGGTTTATCCAGCTGTTGGAGTGGTGGAAAGTATAGGGGATCTAAGAATCCTACTACTCCTACGGAAGACGGTCCCGTATTCCACGTCTTGGCCATCTTTATTTTGTTGTGTTTTTTCTTGTTGTTCTTTTTGTTGGGGTTTTTGTTGTTGTTGTGGTGTATTCATTTTGTTCTGATGGGTCTCCGCCAAGCCGCTATCTCCGCGCGTTGTAACAGTTGCCCTATATGAGCCCCGTGGTTATCTATGCAAGCAGAGAGGCCACGCGAGGGTTGACACAAGTCTGTACGGTGATAGCATTAGCCTACCAGCCATTTCGGTGAGATGTCACGCTCTACTGAGGTGGTAGAATGCTGCTCTAACCAGCCCTTTGTCAATCTAATCCTTTCCGGCTTTCCAGTATACCATAATCAGAATCTTACTGGCCTCGATTCTGATGGGCGCTTGCCCAGGGTTTTCATCGTCATCCGTACACATTGGGTACTGTCGCTGTATTGATCCCTCGTCGCTTTGTTGCCTCCACACAAGGAGCCAAAAAGGTGGATACGGGAAGCAATTGAGGAGGAATTGGCACAAAACGCACAGGCATACGTGTATAGTTTTGTTGCGAATCGCTGAATGGGGGCTTAGCCGACGCGTAAAAAATAAAACTCGGAGAAACTTCATTTTTTAATTATAAAATAAAATGTGAATTAACTTTATTCTAGATATAAAAGGAACACATTAGTTTTGGAAGAAATAGTACCCGACCGTCACGCAACCGAAGCAATCACCGACACGTCTCAAGTTGAAATAAAAAATGATCGAGCTTTACGCCGTTGTGTTACATTTCACCTCAACAATGCCCCATGCACTCATTGTGGAATGTAGGAAGTAGGGGACCACTAGGCGTGACTCCTCCACCCTCAGATTCAACGGATATACCGTGGGATGCGTTTGCGGGTATTTATATCTTTTTGTTTTTTATTCAAATATATTAAATTTTCATTATTTAATTCAGTTATGTATGTCTTATCATGATATAAATATATATTAAATTTTTTTCATTAATTAATTCAATTAATATATACATATGTCTTATCATAATTTAAATATTTTTACATTTTTTTTCATTATTTAATTTTGTAATTTCAGTTTTCCTCTAGCTTGTGTTTTTAAATTCTTTTGAATTGCGAGTTTTTTGACATTAAATTGTTTTTTTCTTTTTTGTAATTGCTAATTTTTTTAAATTTGATAACTCTGTTATTGTTGACAAATTTATTTTTAAAGTTGTCGTAAAAAAGGACTCGGCTGATGCAGTTGCGACGGCGATCGATCGAAAAAGGGGGGCCGTACCCAGTCGTCGATCTCTTTTGTTGGTTGGGTAGAGTGGTGAGATCGTGGGTGTGTTGGTGGTGTGGTGTGTGTTGGTATCCCTCGGTGAGTTATGTGAAGTTGTATGTAATGGTGTGTGGTGTTTTCGGGAGTGGATGGTATTGTTGTGGTGTGTTGGAATGTATCAGTGTTGCTTGTGAAGTTGTGTGTGGTGCTTGTACAGGGATGTTCTCTGGGAAGGCTTATAGTTCATTTAGCCAGTGTTTAATGCAGTCTTTCAACATCCGCGTTTCCTGTTTTATAGTATGTATTTGTAAAGGTTTGTTTCGTTCGACTGGCAATAAAGGTTTCTCTAGGTATTGAAACCTTTTCTTTAGAGCATGAATTATTGAAATCTGTTCTGTCTTTAAGAGTTCGACTGTTGCGTATTTTGTTAGCCTATTAACGCTAGTAAGGTACATTTTGTTTCTTTGGGTACCAAATGTCAAAATGAACTATTTCGTTATGTTTTTCGGGGGTCAAATTTTGCCTATTACATATTTCACAATGGGTCATATATTTTTGTATCTCTTTTTGTAGATTTGGATAGTAATAAGAAAGTTTAATTTACGAAAGGATTTCGTTTATTCCTCCATGATTAATAGTTAAATATGTTTTTTCGATTATTTGTAAAATTTTGTCTCTGTCTGTGATATACTCCATTAAAATATTTGACTTCATTCTTTCAGGCTTTTATTAATAGTCAAAATTCGACGAATAGGTACGTATTGAAACAAAATTATTTTAGATTTCATCGGTTCTACTTCTGTGTAGTCGATGATCATTTGTACCCTAAAAATATTTAAAGGTTTTTTCGTAATTAAAATAAAGTCTGTACTATTCGTTTCCGCACTATGAACTGTATCAGTTCACATCTTTGTCAGTCAGTTCATTTATATTACAATAGTTTCTATTGTTGTTTGCTGGACGTCCATATCATATACAATACTATCCTACTAAGTCCGTCCGCTATTACGTTTTATTTTTTTTTAATATAATATATTCTTTTTGGAAGTCAAATTCGTTAATTTTATTTTCCAGCGTTGAAGTTTGCTAGTCGTTTCTTTAAATTAGTTAGCCAAAAAAGTGGGCAATAGTCGGTTTTTGTTATAAATCTTCGTCCGGAAAGATTGGGCCGAAAATATTTTGTTGCCCAAGCAATAGCAAAGGTTTCTTTCCCGATCGCGGTATAATTATTTTCGTGTCCGTTGAGATATCTGCTAGCATAGCAAACTACTTTGTTGGATTGCATTAAGACTGATCCTAGGGCAAAGTTACTAGCATCTGTAACTGATGTGAAAAATAAAATCGGACAATCGCCTATAATAACCCGTAATCCCTAAAAACATTTTTATCTTCTTTTGGTTTTTTTTGGGTTTTATTCCTTCATGAGGGATGACGTGCCCTAAAAATTCAGTTTGTTGTTTTAAAAAGTTACACTTAGTCACTTGGATTTTTAAATTTGCTTTATGTAGGCAGTATAAAATTTTCAAAATTTTCTTTCAAAACTTCGTTCATTAGTTTCCGAAACGTGGAAACTCGTAGTGACCGTTGGCTGTATAAAATGCTGTTTTATGGATATCGCTTTCATCCATTTCGATTTGGTGAAGGCCTTTCGCCAAGTCGAGTGTTGTAAAGTAAAGGCATCATCCTAGTTTATCAAATATATCCTCTATATTTGAAATAGGGCATATGTCTTCTACAGTGATGTTATTCAACTTTCGGTAGTCGATGACGATGCGCCAATTTAATTTATTAGACACATCAAGCTTCTTCAGAACGATCCAAGGAGGTATGTTGTAAGCGCTAGCAGATTTTCGAATTATACCCTGTTATAGCATTTCCTCGACTTGTTTTTCTATTTCGGCTTTATGAATTTCTGTATCTTAACATTTTGAAATAAATGGGAATACCGTTATGTGTAGGTATTTTACGGGTGTATGAATTAGCCCCCACTGAATTAACCACCACCGGGCAAAATTACTTAAGCACCACCAGTTTTACAACAAAATTAAAAATGGCGGAAAGTGGGGCTAAAGTCATTTTCGTGGGGATTAATTCTTTTTTTTTAGTTGGGATTCTGTCTGTTTGGTAGGGCTTAATTCATTTTGATTGGTGGGGATTAAAGCATTTTCGTGGGGTTTAATTCATTTTAATTCCGTGATCTTTTATAAAAATAAAACAAACAGTTAGCAACGTAAAAATATAATACTTTTCAAATTTTATTTAGTTTCTTTGCTTTTTTTCTCCATATTTTCGTAAGTCTCCGTTACAAAAAACTATTTGATTAAGTATAACATTATAGCTATAGTACTTGTGAGCGTTTGGAGAATTTTCAAGCCATAAGAGTAAATCTGATATTTTTTTGTGAACGGTATCCATCGTATTAGTTGAAAGAGTTGCGACTCGCTGATTCCATTAACGAAAGCAAAAACACAAACTATTAATTGCGCCTTTTAACTTTTTTTCCAAAAAAATAATCAATTATAAATCCAGGAACATGAGAAAAGTTTATAGTATCGCTTTTATTTAGTAAGATCTTCCTTGCGTTTATACGATTATTCTTTTTGTTTCAATTTTTCTATATTCATTTTTATGCAGAATACGCAGAACTGTTTTTAATATTAAGATTGAATTGTCAAAGACTTTTCCTTTTACGAAAGGTTAAAATCACTAATAGTGCACATTTCGTAAAAGGAGAAACCATAATTTTGTAAATTATAAAATAATAGAAGGGAATTTTTCCTTTTACCAAAGGTTAAAATCACAGTGTACATTTCGTAAAAAGGGAAACCATAATTTTGTAAATAATCATATAATAAAAATCCTTCTCTTACAGCTATTTTTTCATGGGATAGTGAATTTCCTGCTGTGGTCAAAAACTCCAAAGCGCCTGGAATAGATGGTATACCAAATAGAGGTCTAAAAGAAGCGATGACTCTGAGACCCAGTTTGTTCGTTAAAATGTACAATGCGTGTATATTGGAAGACATGTTCCCTGACCCATGGAAGGTGCAGCGTTTGGTTCTACTCCCAAAAAACCGAAAAAGCCACCTGAAGACCCTTCATCATATCGACCTCTGTGGACTCTCGACGCATTTGGTAAAGTGTACGAAAGCATAGTAAGAAACCGCTGGAGGTAGCAATCCAAAAAGCCGGCAGTTTATTAGAGAGACAAAACGGCTTTATAAAATATAAAATCTACTATTGACGCACAAAGTGAAGTGATATTGCTAAATGTTCCATAAGTGGCAAAAGATAGAAAGGTGGCACAAACAAATAGTGCGCGCTAATTACCCTGAATGTGTAGAATGCATTTAACTCTGCGAAATGGGCAAATATCAGCAAAGGCCCTGTACGAAATACCTACACCCAATACCTCATAAATATTATTATGAGTTATTTTGACAACAGGATATTGCGATACGACACAGGTGAAGGTTCCCAGAGTTACTCTATTACGAGTAATGTACCGCAAGGTTCGGTTTTCGGCCCCCTTCCATGAAACCTGATAGAGTGCTAAGAATACAGCAACAACATTCCGTGAAACTAATCGCCTATATGGATGATCTCATAGTGGTAGCAGTGACGAAACATCTAGATGACTTCCGGATCAAATGCAATGATTGCAGAAATGGTCTACGACGATGGTTTGCTACCATGAGCTTAGAGTTGGCTGAGCAAAAAGAAGTCTTGCTCATTAGCTCCAGGAAAAATAAAGAAAAACAAGTAAGGAAGGGCTAAGTTCGGATGTAACCGAACATTTTATACTCTCGCAAAGTCAAATGGTATACTCGTTTGAGATTTCTTTGTGGATTGACTGATATTTTCGGTAGAAGGTCAACTATAGGCACTGGGGTCCACATATTTAATACTTAGGGGTTTGAACAGTTTTGTTTCGATTTAGACAATTTTTGGCCGCAAGGTGGCATACTTTAATTGCATTATTCACGCAAAGTTTTACGCCGATATAATCATTGTTGCTTGATTTGCATAGTGGAAAGTGAAAGAATCAAGTGGTATTTAAAATGGTGTCATATGGAAAATAGGCGTGGTTGTAATCCGATTTCGCCCATTTTCGCACTATGACATAGAAACATGAAAAGAACGTTACGCACCGAATTTGGTTGAAATCGGTTAAGCAGATCTCAACATATGGGTTTTCACCTAAAAGTGGGCTGTGCCACGCCCACTGTCTAATTTTGAACGCGGTTCCTATAAAGTCATCTTATACCATCTCAGAGATAAAATTTAATGTCTCTGGCGTGTTTTGTGCTTGATTTATCGCGCTTTTAGTAGTTTTTAACAGTACCGTTATATGGGGAGTGGGCGGAGTTGCCACCCGATTTCAACTATTTTCACACCGTCAATAGAAGTGCTAAAAGCATTTGCTTCCAGTGAATTTTGTTATTATAGCATTAGCGGTTTAGGAGATATGCACATTAAACCTATTAGAGGCGGGACCACGCCCACTTTTAAAAAAAGTTTTAACTGCAGATGCCCCTCCCTAATGTGATCCTGTGTACCAAATAACAGTCTTGTATCTTATTGCGGAGCTTAGTTATGGCAAGTTATTTGTTTTTGATTAATGGCGTTTTGTGGGCGTGGCAGTGGTCCGATTACGCCCACGACGCAAAAAGAGAGGAAAAATGCAAAAGCATCACAATGTGGCAGCAACGGTGGCAAACCTCATCCAAAGGACGGTGGACACACAGTGTTATACCAGACATCATACCGTGGATAGATAGGTGGATTCCCACCTGACCCAAATACTAAGTGCATATGGGTGCTTTAGAAGCAACCTTTACAAATTTCGTCATGAATATAGTCCGTACTGTCCAACGTGTACAGAGTGTATAGAAGACTCTGAAGACGTTTTTTTTACCATTGCCCCTGGTTTTCAAATATAAGATAAACTCTGAAAACTACACTTGACGGTAGTTTCATTTTGTAAATTTTGACAGCACTTATGTGTTAGTCCTCTATTACATGGAAAGCTGTCAGCGAAACGCCAGCTCTGATTATGACAGCCATTCCATTTTTGACAATTTCCGATTAAGTGACAGTCATACTGTTTGGTGCTAACAGTAAGTCTCTAGTACAAATAATATACAAAATTGTCCTAAAATAGTTCCCTGTGGTACGCCTGCGTCAATCTCTTTTATTTTGGAGAATTCATTCTCTTGTTTCACACATAAAATAAGGTGCACTTCATGAATAGTAATTATATTATCAATATATGTCAAAATAATCAACTTGTTGCACGAAATACATAGATTTTACAAACCGTTACACAAATATTCTATACATTTTTTGATACAATTTAGTTTAGGAAACATTACAACGTCAGCAAGTTTCCAGGGACTTGGAAAATGTGTCAGACGTATGTATTGAAAATATACGTGAGATTTAATAAACTTTTGGTGGTAACTGCTTTAAAACTTCAGCTGTTATTAGATTGAATTTTTGAGCTAACAAATTGAGATTTCTGTAATTGTTGCATGATCTGGTTGAACATTATTGAGGAACGCATTTTCACTACTCTCATTTGAAAGAAAATTTTCAGCTCGGTGTGTTACGAATGCATTTGGTTTATCACAATCACTTCTAGCCCATTTATTACTGCTAATTTTTTATGGCGCAACCTGGCATGTTGGACGTTTAAGATATTTGGTAATTTTCCAGAGCGAGTAATCATCTTTTTTGTTAGCCGATAGTTGAGATAAGGATTTGTGTATTGACTCATTCTTAATATGAGTAATTTCTTGTTTTAATTCAGCTGTTGCTCTATTAAAATTGATTTTGTCAAGTGGTGAGCGTGTTTGTTGCCGTTCCTGTCGTAATTTTCTTTTCCAGGTTGGGAGAACTTTTAGATCGGCTTTAGAATACCGTCCCAGAATATGGGCGGATAGAGGAGGTCCTCAGATCAAGAATATGTATAGATATAGCCTACTATTCACGCAAATAGAAATTCTACGCAAAAAAACCTTGGTAAAAGTCGGTGTTGCACCGACCAGGGTTATTTTTTGAAGGGCAGCCAAAGGCCGCCAACGCAAAAAAAAGTTCTGCGCAAAAAAACCTTGGTACACCACGATATTGGATCGACCAGGGTTTTTTTTTGAGTTCTACAAGAAAAAGTAACATTGTCATAGAAGGTATAACATAATCCTTACCATCAATGCTCTCTAATATTTTATGTTTCTAGGTTTTGGATTCCTGTATTACCCATTTTATCCCCGAAAGCCTGGGACGGCTAAAGTCTTTAGGGTAATTTGAACCTATAATTTTGAAATTTCGGAATACTTTCCTAGTAATAAAGAAGTATATTAGATCGGGTATTTTTTTGGCCAATACAAACTCACATCCGGTTTCCTGAGCTGCCTGGAATAAATCCCGTCCTTTTGATGTCGTTAGGCGCGATCCCCAGTAGACATGCTTCGCATTAAAGTCGCCACCCATAATACATTTGTGGGTGTGCATATTGAAAAGTTCTTTATATTCATCAACGAGAATTTTGTACCTCGGCGGCCAATATATTGCAGTAATTTAAACGCGTTTTTAATGTAAAGTTGTGATTTGAATATTTTGCGTACTGGTTTTTCCATCCTCATAATGCTCAATATCGTTTTTAATAATAGCAGCAGTATCTCCCCTCGCACAATTACTAGGGTGAATTGGCTGAGTGTCGTAAAATGAGTTTCGGATATTAGACATATATCTATTTTTCCTTTTTCCAAAATAATTTGAAGTTCTTCTTGGTGCTTTAATAATCCATTTTCGTTCCATATCATTACTCGGGGAGCACCATTCATACCATAGATTTTTATTGTTTTTTAATTTTTGAGGTTATCTAAACGACTGCAGAGATCGAAAATGAATTTTTCTTGTTTATTTTATATCTCTAGAATTTAAGTCAATAGGTCTTCAGTCAAGTTATTGTTTTTTGAGTTCATTACTTTTGAGTTACTTTTCACAACTTTGAGCAGAAATTCTTGGTATGTCCAAATGCCTGGTAATTTTTATATTGAACAATAAGTTTAGAATTTCTAACAAGCTCAATGAGATCTACGAAGTGAAAAATATGTTTAACTTTAAAAATTTTCTTGACATCTTCATTAGTATCAAAGGTAGCTAGAAACATGTTTAATGACTCTCGTGCTTTCCACATAAGTTTGTTTACTACATTTAATCCTTAATCCTTTAAATCAGTGACAATAGCACTCATACGACACGAATGATGGAGGTTTTTAATCGCGCGTTTGTTTGTCTTCGTAAGCAAACCACGATACTCGATCTGTAGTCATCACTTGATGTGACTTATTTAATGAATGTCGTTTTTTAAAAGTTTTAAGACAAATGAATTTTTGGCAATATCTTTAATTTGGTTATTTAACTCTTGATAATTAGAGATCTGTGAAATAAACAATAAAAACATTTTCATTGCAAGTAAATACAAAACGATATTAATAAAACTAAATACGTGTTTTTAACATACCTGCAGAAGCTACACGCACAAAACAGGTCGCTACCTAACAAAAAAAATTCAAGATTTTGGACACGTTCCTAAGCTGCATAGACGCCATAGTAGAATCTAACGTCCCAAATCGACCAGAAAACTTTAAATCTTCGGCTTACGCAAAATATGAAAATTGCTAAGACCAATATGATCAATGATTAATTAAACCTAATAAAAGCAATTGCACCTTCTCCTCCTCCGAGAGTAGAGCTGCCACATATTCACAGTCAAGAGGCAATTTTAGGTATCCATCTCAAGGTGCCCGCGTCGGACACAGAAATATTTCAACAACGGCCGTCCTTTCGGACATGTTTACAGCCGTTTACATAAACCATCCTTAATCATCAAAAGCGCAAAAATTGTATAACCTCCGATACAAAACTAAAGGTCAAGCAGGCGTAATAGTAAACAGTTCGCACTAAATGACAATAATTTCAATTTAGCTTGGGAAGCTCTTAAATCAAGAATCGAAATCGAAAGAATATTGGCTTATACAATGCTTGGGATGCTCTAAAATCTAGATATGAAAACGAAAGAATATTGGTCGATAAACAAGTAACGACACTAATAAACTTGCCAGAAATTCACAAAGAAACAAGTGAAGAATTTTTTAAACTACTATCACTACTACTGTTTCAAATTGTTTGTCGGTTCTATCGACATAAAATACTCCCACAGAAAGCTGAGACCCAATACTGGTAAATATATGCATCGCCGCTTTACCAAAAAAATCGTTACTTTTGTGGGAGCAATCGCTCTCATCTCGAAAAAAATGCCCAACGTGGTAACAAATGAAAGTCCAGAGAATTTAAAATATAGAGAAGGTCCAACTACGGATCAGCGAGTGAATTGTCAAAACCTAACAAAATACGTGCGTGTTTCACCACAGTTAGCTCGGAAGGAGAAATTTTAACAGTGGCGCGTAAACAGAGCTGAGCATTGAATATAAATTATGCTCAGAAGCTTGCATTGATATTACAGCCGAATATTAGCCTTTTGGCTTATATTTTTATACGTTTATATAAAATCATATTCATTAATATGAATTTCATTATGCGAATATTTATGAATGCATGCAAAACTGATAAGACTCTATCACTTATCAATACACTATATGTGCGCGCATTGATTTATATGTCAACATGTATATGTATGTATATATAACATTGCCGCACAAATAATGCTTACACAAACCAACCTACATACATATGAATATCCGAACACATGTAAATATGTAACCCCCAAAAAACTACAAACATTTTTCTACAAAAACAACAATCATCACAAGTCAGTATGTCAACCAAAAAGCCGAATCCGATGTTATAGTAAATCACACAACAACCACGTTTTTATTCATAAACGCAGTCGTACTTTCAACAAGCAACCTCGCTTCGTTCAGAAAAACCGTCACCCCCACATCTCCCCGAGCATGCGTTTGCCTACAAGCGTCTTTCCGCTACGATGGCAAAAGCTTATAATGTTTAGCACAAACAAATTTCTGATGTTCCTTCCAGAAGGGAAAAGTTGAAACCCCGCAAACCCACAAAACATTGAAAAAGTTAACAAAACTGGCAACAAAGTTTTTGTCGATTTAAAATATTTTACAATTTTAAAATATTGCTCACAAAAATCTGCGTCAATATGTATGCATGCTCATATATAAACATACATACTTACGATGATTTATGGGCAAAGCTGTTAGAGCGGCAAGGGAAGCGGTGACAATCGGCGGCTGTTCGTTATTTTTTTTCAGCATAGCTCGGATTTTCTACCAACTACACAATGTTGTGACGCTTGTCGTCGCGTCAGTCCTTCGACAAAGTGACTCTTTGACAAGGAAACAAAAAACGTGAGCTGTGTACATATTTGCATACATACGTTGCATATAGATAAGTTAAAAATTATAATGAGTACTTTCATATTTGTTACATGCACACATAATTATATAAATAGATATGTATAAGAATATTATTATTATAGAAGACTAGTTGAGCAAGCGGACGTGTCAGATGTGGTGATTTTTGTGGAGTTAACAATATGTTCTAAAAAATTTTAAATTAGGAGAGAAAACTTACTGAGTTATTGAAACAGTTTAAATTAATTATTTTAATGAAAATAAAAGTGTGAAATAGCTTAAAAAACAAAAATCAAGTTAAAAAAAAATTTGCTTGCGTAAATAAGTGCAGCCGCAACAACAACAGCGCAAATGGTCTGAAAACAATACCTAGCCCAATTAATAGACTCAACTAGCTGGATGTGCACACACAAGGAAAACAAAAACAAAAAATCGGAGAATAATAATGAAAGCAGCACAGAAGAACGAAGAAGGGGTGATTGGAAGAGACGGCGTAGATCAAAGTGCGGTAAAAATTTCTGCAGCAAAATGCAAAAGTGCAAGCAAGAACAGGGACGAAGCTGTGCAGCTTGGTGATAAGTGTGACGAAACTTTTAAGTGTCATTCAAATATGAAAATTCCTAAAATTGTAATTTGCATTATATGTGAATGTGTTTATCACGAAGGTGACTTCAACAGATTTGAAAAAGGTTTTTACGTGGGTAAGCGATTGATTGTGTGTCCCGATCATGGTGATGTAAACATAACCTCATCCGACCACGCCACGCTGGATAAAAACTCAAGAAAAATAATAGCATATATAAAACAGCACGAAAAAGAAGATCTTAAGTTATGTTTGAGCAGCAGTGTAATGTTAGATACATCAAGCTCACAAGATCTTCTCAATAAAACAGTGAGAAACAATGAGGATGAACAGCTCCTGAATGCCAACGTTAAAATAGAACTGCTACGTGATTTAAATCAAGAATTGAAATCTAAAAACAAGTTATTAACTGAATTACTGGAAATAAATAAAGCAGAAGTAAACAAATGTAAGTCGTACGCTGAAATTTTAAAAGAGGATAAGAAAGAAAGAGTGTCCAGCGATTGTAGTTAAGACAAAGAATAAAGAAATGGATAAAAACTATGCTCAACTAGTTAAAAAAATTATTTCTACTAATACAAGTGCTCAAATAAAAAATGTAATGACAACAAAATCGGGTGCAGTGATAGTTAAGTGTAAAAGCAAGCAAGATGTCGTAAGAACCAAAGACCTGGTTGAAAAACTAGGTGAAAATTTTGAAGTAGTACAGGAGAAAATGAATGCTCCCAAAATCAAAATTTTTGATACCGAAAGTGACATGAGCAAGGAAGAACTAATTGATGATATTTGTAACAGAAACAGCGCCTATTTCGATGGGGACTTTAAAATTATAGCTGACTTTACTAATAGTAAGAACAAACGTAGCTTAAATCTTGAAGTGTCTTCTAACATTTATCTCAGTGCGATGTCCAATAAAGTTACCTATGTTGGCCATAAGAGCTGTCGAGTGTTTGATGTTTTTAACTTGAGTATGTGCTTTCGATGTGGCCGGACCAATCATAGCCGCAAAAAATGTAACAATGAATCAGCTTTGTGCTGGAAAGCATGATACTAGAGAATGCACCAGCACCATAAAATCATGTATAAACTGTGTTTATTACAATAAACATTTTAATAAAAACAAACCCACTGATCACGCGGCAACGGATATCAGCGCATGCGCATACCTCAAATTCAAATACAACAACATTGTGAAATCAACAGACTATCCTACAATGTCTCAGATTCCGACTAACTTTGGTAAAGTCCTTGAACCAAAGGGGGCATAAACTTAGAACATATAACACAATTTTCTCACCAAAAATGAATAATAATAGTAATCAAGATTTGAATTGTATTATTGAGGATTCTGTAGATAATCTAGAAGATTTAAACAAGAAGTTCGCTGTAGGTGACATTCTCATACTTCATATCAACATCAGAAGTCTCAATGCCAATTTTGAAAAACTTGAACTTTTGCTAAAAAGTCTAATATGTAAACCACATGTTAAAGTTTGTAGTGAAACGTGGAATTTAATTGAACATAAATTATATTCATTAAATGGTTATAGCATACATTATAATCAAAGCAGTATAAATAAGGCAGATGGAGTAATAATGTCTCAAATGCTCTAAAACACTCCACATCGGTAGATACTATCGGGCGTTGCAATTTTCTTTCTACATGTATAAGTATTAACAATAATTTAAATTTAAAGGTAACTGGAATGTACAGATGTCATGACATCCCTAAGGATGAATTTATTAATAAATTAAAAATATACATGGATACTAATTCTAAGATTAAAAATCATATATTAGTTGGAGACTTCAATATAAATTTAAATTATGTAGACTATCACTCAGATCTACTATTATCAAGTGTTTTAGATATGAATTATGTACCATTTTTTAATAATACTACCAGGCCTTATAGTGAGGATGGATCATGTATAGATAATATGTTCGTTAAAACAAATATTCCCAACGTAAAATCAATTACATATAAACAAATGATCACTGATCATTATATTTTGTTTTTGTCATTAAATACGCATAAATTATTAAATCATAAAGAACCTAAGAATTATCTCAGTTATAAAATGCTGGAGAAAAATAGTAAAAATGTACTTTGGGAAGACATATTAAAAATACAGGATCCAAATATTGCTACTAGTAGTCTCATAGCTAAAATACAAAATTTGATAAAAAAATGCTTATGTAAAACCAAAACACAACAATCGTAAATTTAAACAGCGTAAAAATTGGATTACGATTGGCATTATGAAGTCATGTCGTACTAAAGAGAAGTTATATAATAAATGGAAAAAAAATAAAGATAATATAGAACTAAAAACAAAATACAATACTTACTGTAAAAAACTGGACAAAGTTATAAAAATTACTAAGTGTAATTATGAGAATAATTCGATAAATAGTAAATCTAACTTAGTAAAGACTTATGGAATTATGTAAATCATAAATTAGGTAAAAATGTAAAGTCATCTAAAGATATAGACTACTTAATCGAACATGATGTGAAGATCACTAACTCTGCGGAAACTGCTGATACCTTTATAAATTTTTTTAGTAATGTGGGTATAGATTTAGCTGCTAAAATGAAAAAAACAGATAACAGTACGGTTTATAATATAGAAAATAATACTAAGGCAATTTTCTTTAAGCCAACTGATGAACAAGAAATTGAAAAAGTAATCAGAAACCTAAAAGACAAAGCTGGGGGAGTTGATGGAATTAACACTAAAGTCTTAAAAATAATAAGTAAATTTATTAGTAAGCCAATGGAATTTATCTTTAATACCTGTATGACTATAGGAATATGGCCAAATGGATTAAAATGTGCAGAAATCCTACCAATCCATAAATCAGGAGACAAATATAAAACGAATAACTATCGGCCAATATCCTTAATTTCTAATATAGCTAAAGTTTTTGAAAAAATTATTCATAAACGAAATTATAACTTCATAACAGACTCAAAAATTATTGCGAAAAACCAATATGGCTTCTTAATAAATAAAGCCACTAAGGATGCAATTGTTGCAATTACCAGTTTTATATACACTAATATTGATAAAAATAATTCAACAGTGATAGCTTTCCTGGATTTAGCAAAAGCTTTTGATACAGTAGATCATGCTTTATTGTTGGATAAATTATATAGATATGGAATCAGAGGAATCGCTGTTGATTTAATTCGTGACTACCTTAAAAACAGATATCAAGTAGTTAAAGTTAACGGGGTAAAAAGCAAATCATGTAAAGTTCAAATAGGGGTGTCGCAAGGTACAATCTTGGGACCACTGCTTTTTCTTCTATATGTAAATGATATTTTTAAGGAACTACCTGAAAACTGTTTGGCAGCTTATGCAGATGATACAATAGTTAAATGTGTAGGTAAATCTTGGGCGGAAGCTGAATCACAAATGAATGTGCAGTTAAGTTTAATAGGGAATTGGATGTGTAATAATTACTTAACTCTAAATGTTGGAAAAACTAACTACATAACTTTCGGTTCATATAAAGACAGTATTCCAGAAAGTTTTGAGTTAAAAATTTATGATAAGACCATTAAAAGAATTGATAATAGTAAATACTTAGGTGTATATTTTGATAGTCACATGAGATGGGATATTCATATCATATATATGAACAAGAAAGCACTAAAAACCATTTATTACGCATTATTCGATAGTATAGTCAACTATGGAATTATTGCCTGGGGAGGTAGTTATAAGAATGTTACAAAATTGTTAATACAAATACAAGATAAATTAATTAATCATTTATGGGATAAAAACGAGAGAACACCCGTACTGGGTATTAAAAAGAAATTTATTTCTGAGTCACAATGTTATCATTATTCCGATTGTAAAGAGGTATTTAATGAATATAAAGGTAAGGCTAGAGCTAAACCGTTACAGTTACCAAAGATTAATAAAAATTTATCTTACAAAGACTCGAAATATATAGCAATTAAATACCACAATATGTTACCGCTGAGTCTAAAGTTGTTAAATATTAAAAATAAAGCAAGCAAAAAGAAAATAACTGAGTGGATAGACACTAATATTTAAAAATACTATGTTTTCTCTTGTTTTTCAACTATAAATGACATTTGTTATTAATAGATTAGTACTTAATTATAATAAACTATTATTACCATTCCTATGTACAGGTGTTGTGTAACACCTCTATAGGTGCATACTTTGTATGTAATATGTACTTTGTATCCTGGAATAAATAAATAAATATTTGCGACCGCTTTTGCTTCTGACTGAACTGAAGCAGTTCATTAAATAGATAATTGAGGCAATCCCGACTTCAACCCTTCAGCCCGCAATAATTTTCTCATTAGGTCTTGCATATGCGTGGCTGAGTATGGAGGAATAATTAATTGTTTAAATCAAATAACATTTTCTACACAATAAAAAAATATTTGTTATGCATTGATTACAAAGAAACTTATTCGGTTTAGTTTTGTAGCACGATTCGTTAGCCACCCTGTATATGCAGAATATGTTAAAATTATATGCAAAGTCGTTTGCGCATTGTAAATATACGAATCTGTAAGCGTACATTTCTTAACATTGAAATTAGCATAACTTTTCTCAATTAACATTGAAAATGCTCAATTCTGCTCTTTTTCAGTCTCCTGATGTTAATTGTGGCCAATAATTTTCTATGGTGAAGCACGCTCATCGTTTTCAGTACCCCTTTCAAAAGTGGTGAAACACTCTCATCGCTTTCAGTTTCCCTGCGAAAAGTGAAATATTTTGATAATGGCCGCACTGTGAACCTTCTCTATAATCTACATTCTCTGGAAAGACTTTCCAATTACCCAATACGAAATCGCAGAAGGGGTAGATAAAAAATTGGTCAGAACGGAAACTGTTCAAAACCAAAAAAGAAGCTTCAATAGACCCCAAGCTAGTAGCAAAAACAAATTAAACAGAAGCTTTTACTAAAGGCAATCGTTCACATCTAAACAAAATAAACATACGTTATGCGAACTATGCACAAGAGGGCATAAATTACAATCTTGCGAAAAGTTTAAAAACTTAAAAGTTAACGAACGAAATAATTTCGTAAAAACTAAAAGACTTTGTTCAAACTGCCTGTCATATGCGCATCCGCATAAAAATTGCAAAAGCAAATTCAATTGCTTATATTGTCACAAAAGACACCGCTCAATGCTTCATTACAGCAAATTTCTAGGCTCAACCCAAAGCAGAGCATAAGAAAAGACTCACGGGTTCAATTGCAAAAGCAAATCCCGAAAATTGCAAAGAAGCACCATGCTGCTCAAAGGCATTAAAAACACAAACGTTACACAGCGAAGTTCAAAGTAGGGTATTACTACCCACAGCAGTCGTCTCCATTGAGCACCGAGGAGCTTTTAAGCTTAGGGCCCTAATAGACCAAGGATCACAACGATCATTTTTAGCGTCTAAGGCACAAAATAGGCTAAAACTGCAATCAAAACAATCGAATTTTGAAAGAGTAGTCCAAAACTCAAATAAAATCTGCCCCATTACCCTAATTTCCCCTCAAGTGGATAAGCGAATTGTAGCAGAAGTTATAATCCTGCCGCTAACATGCTTCCAAGGTATCACATAAATAGCAAGCATTGACAAAAGGTTTCACACCTAAAGCTAGCAGATCCCAACTGCAACACCCCGCTCAAATAGATATTCTAATATGCAGCGACCTTATACCGAAAATAATACTTGAAAGTGTTGAAAAAATTTCAACCACCCTTCTAGCCCAACTTCAAAACTATATTCAGTTGAATTCTAAGTGGACTAGTTGCAGAACCAGTATCCACATCAACAACTCCAGTTGACGAAAAATTATATGGACACATTAATTCACAATTCAGTAAATGTTGGGAGTTAAAAGAACTCTCCCACATATCAGTTACAATCCAAGAAGATCAGTATTGTGAAGACTTGTACAAAGCCACAACTGCTCGAACAGAGTCAGAATTCCCTTTGACAACCCCAATATTAAAAACACATACATATATAACTTCCCGCCCCGCAGGATAGCTTTCGCCAATAATAATACAAAAATCCTGATTCCAAAAATATAAGCCAATGGTATTGTCCTGCTTCCAGTAAAAATTCCATGACATTTCATCTAATGGAAGTGAAGTAATTGCGTTTCAAGTGTCAGTATGTTTTTGTCATCGGTGCGAAAATGAGCTTCGAACAAAGAGCCAACATAAATTTTGTTTTAAAATTGGTAAAACTTTTACCGAAACGTTTCAATTGATGAAACAAGTTTATGGCGATGATTGCCTATATCGTAGCAGAGTGCCCGAGTGATTTCAACATTTTCAAAGTGATCGTGAGGACATAAATGAGAAATGAGCCGAAACCCAAAAAATCGCGGATGGAGAAGTCAAAAGTGAAGACAATGCTGATTTGTTTTTATGATTCCAAGGGTATTGTCCACAAAAAATTTATTCCACCCGGCCGAAACGTTAATGCGGTATTCTACCTTGGAGTTTTAAATCGTTTGGTGCGCCGTATTCGACGTGTTCTGCCCGAATATCGCGAAGATGGAAGTTGGCGTTTGTTGCACGATAATGTGCCGTCTCATTGATCGACGCTTGTGGCCGATTATTTGATCAAAAATCACATTTTAACAATCAACCATCCTGCGCGCAACACCAAAGCGATTCCTCAACTGCTTTTGGATCTACACATTTCTTTTTGGACAACATCGTTCCGTACGCGCCCACTCTACATTTAACGATCCGATAATATATAAACTTATATTTAAGGAATTTTATTGTGCAAAATTTAATAATAAAATTCGAATACTAAACTAAATTGCGCATTTTAATTACTTACAATATAATTATACAAGTGGTGAGTGCTGCTAAAGTGGGATGTCTTCCCTAATGTCTTAAATACAAATTGGTTTACTTTGTTCTAGCTGTTCTCGCAAAAAGCAAAGAGTGAAGCTAAAAGTAATTGTTTGCTTGCTACTTTGTTGAGTGCTGCTAAAATGGGATGTCTTCCCTAATGTATTAAATATAAATTGGTTTACTTTGTTCTAGCTGCTCTCGCAAAAAGCAAAGAGTGAAGCTAAAAGTAATTGTTTGCGCGGGGCAAGGACAAGCAAGCATCAGCTTACGTGTATTTATGAATGTATGTGTGATTGTCATATTTGTGTAAACACGCATAAATAAAGTTACACTCAATAAACCTAAACATGTTAACAGCTTTTCCTAAAATATTGTAATTGCCTCAGTAAGTTAAATATGCGATTAAAGTCACTGAATTGAGATCTGCTAAAATTCCAATTAATAAAATAAAAAAATTTAATTTGAGATTAATGATTTTCAGGATTCGAACGTAAATGCCCTTATTCGCATTGAGCTTAACTCCTCCACGCCTACTGCCAAATAGTCCAGTCATTATAGTAAGTTCACCTCGGAATTCAGATACCCAGCTGTAAGTCTGTAAATACTTGTATATTGACACCCTAAAAGTTGTCTCAAAACCTACATATGGTAGGGTGTACGCAACTATTAAATTTCAAGGTCAAAGGTCACAAAAATCGTTTTTTTGCGCTTTTTTTGTAAATATCTCATTTCCTATGGGTTTTTTGCTATTGGTATTTATTATCAATATTGTAGAATACAAAATTCTCTACAAATTTTGGTTAAAAATTTTTTTCATACGGTGAACCGTTTTCGAGATAGAGGGCTTAGAGCGCGCGGTCACAGCGTCACTTCAGGTCAACCGGTGCCTCCGATCAAAAACGCGCCATATATAGTTGATGAACTATCGATAAATCAATGATTATAAATATTTGTCAATTTTTATTAACTATTATATTATATTTTATCATTTTCTTCATGCCTTAAATCTTTATCTATTCAATAATACTGATCACCGTTTCCTAAAATTAAAAAATAATGAAGGGAAAAACTTAAATCTTACTATAATTATATTCCCATTTTTGGTTAAAATATCAGCTGATGACACTTTCTAACCATACAAAAGAATTTAGCTTATGATGATGAAATCTTCCACTTCCAATTTTGTGCTAAAATGAACCAGAAAAAACAATTTGTATTAACAATTCCACTAAATAAAGTATTATACGTTTTTAACATACTTTAACAAGTAAATTAAACACCAAATTATAAAGCCATTATCGTTTTTTTTTAACATATTTAAAAAATATTGTACTTGTACAACCAAGCATATCAGAATTTCTATGTGCAATTATATATAGGCAAATTTACGATTTCTCTGGCGCCGCGATCGATGGTATTGACGGTATATATACACCGCCTCAGACTTTTAGTTGTCGAGATATTTGTATTTAAAGTTCAAGATTTGTAAAAATAATGCACGCTAATTCACAATGTTTTGCACACTTGGTACACATTTTTCAATGATTATATTTGTACAGAAAGAAGTTCGACGCAAAAGAACTATGGACACCCCGGTGTTGGACATTTAATATATTACTAATCTCTATTGTGTCACACAAATCTTGTGAAACTGTGATTCTGCCAAGTAATTTTCAAAGTACATTTATTTTCTTAAAAACGCACAATAAATCCATATTTTAGATATATTTCAACGTATACAGTGTAATTGCAAATATATTAATTGAAAAAGGTGTGCAAAGTGTGTTAAGCATAGTGAAAATAAATATACATTTTTGAGCTTGAAATACATATATTTCGACTCTATAAGTTTGAGGCGAGTATATGTGTATACATTTTTTAATTCTGAGGACCACCTCTATCCGTTCATACAATCAGATCGCGGCGATAAGAAAATCGTGATCGTGGCTATATTTCTAAATAATTGATAGAAACAACATAAAATTCAAATACTTACCTTCTATATAAACGCCTTTTGATGCTAAAAAGCAAAGCAAAATTATATTGCATATGTACGTATTTTAAAAGCAAATCACAAAAACCGCTTATCTCAAACATTTTTTCTAAATAATGCCATGGCTGGAATGTTTATCAAATATTATACAGCTTTATGTGCGTCTCTTTCTTACGCCTTCAAAAAATATGTATGATGTAGTTTTATAAGTGTAGTAGTGAATTGGTTACTTCCGTCTTGTAGGGTATAAAACTGAAAAGTTTAATATTATTTATTATCAATCGTAAAATTACATTCTTTAATTTCTTGAATTTTTGAACTATTTATGCGAATATTGTAAAAATTATTAGATATATTTATACGTAATCTTTATCCGGACAACCTTCTTTTATATCCGCCCACACCCATTTTGACCGGATATAGTATAGGGGCCCCAATGAAGGAGGTCGAGTTCTGCAAAATGCAGATCAAAAATTAAATGCTAAAGAAATGTAACATCATGATGACCGTGGTTTTGCACCAACCAGGGTTATTGTTGTGAAGCGCAGCCGAAAGCCACGAGTGCAAAAAGAAGTTCGACGCAAAAGAACATGTGCAAACTGAGTTTATTTTTTGATAATTTTGTAAAATTCAATAAAAAAAATATATTCCTTGAAAAAATTGACTTTTCACTCACTGATTTGTATTCTTCGCGTCAAAATAAGACGATTTAAAAAAAGTTATAAATAATTTGAGGCCTCCCTCATTAGGGCCCCTTAACTATACATTTACCTTTTTTAAAACCAGTTCACAAAGCAAAAAAACCATTTCAGTGTTAAAGGGAGTATAGTGGAATAGAGGAGATTCTCCAATTGACAAACAATAAGTGTTGCCATATATGAATATTCTGCAAACGAATTAAAATGAATGAAAAAAGAGGACTCTACTCCAAATACATGATTAAAAATACTTTCGATCCCGAAAAATGCTAGTGGGTTTATGTCCACCATCCTCGTGAAAAATATAAGTGTATAATTCATTTTAAATCGAAAAAATGCGTTCTTTAAATAGTTGAAATTTTCACCTTTAAACGTAAATATATCGAAAACTATAAGTTTCCAGCGGATATTCTTGATCTGGACGACCTCCTCTATCCACCCATATCGGTGTTATCCCCGCAATCCTGGGACGTATTTTAAAGCCGACCCATATATTCCCATTAATTTTTCCAATTTCAGAGAAAAAGGTTAAAAAACACATGCCTGAAAGTAAGAGCAAATCAATCGATAGTCGTGTTTAAAAAATTGTACAATCGTTATTTTTACATCTCCAATCGGTAAATATATCTACAATATGACGCTGTTTAGGAAGTGTCTTTTGGTAAATAAATATTTAGCAAGAACTTTTTCTAATATCTCGTTAGTGAATACACGTACATATGAACAAATTTCATGTTGTAAAAATCACACATGGACTGCATTTGTCCGAGGATATAAAGTTCGACCATTGGGAAATATAAAGAAAAATATTAATCTAATATATACGTGCAAAGTTTGTCAAACGAGAAACTCTAACACAATTTCTGATGTGTCGTACCGGAAAGGTGTGGTAATAGTTCGTTGTGGAGGTTGCTCAAATAACCATTTAATTGCCGATAACCTTAACTGGTTTACTGATCTTAATGGGAAGAAAAATATAGAAGAAATACTTGCGGAAAAAGGAGAACGCGTGCACAATCAAATCTCTAACATAATAAATGTGTCTGGGGATGATACAAAAGAGCACTAATTTAATACGAATAATTTTGTAAATAACTATAATAAATTATTAAATAATATAAATTTGACAAGGCTTTTATCTATATAAGAACAAATTGGGTCGGCTTTAGAATACCGTTCCAAAATTTCGGGGATAAAATGGTATAGGCTATAATAGACAGTAATGCCAAAGAATATAGCCAATCTTGACCAACATTTGCGCCGTTCCCACGACAGTCGGGTCTACGTAACTGGAACGGACCCGGATTTATTCCGGCCAAGGATTGTCAACTCGGTAGAGTTCTGCCGCTATAACAACAACCAACATTTGCGCGTATACAATTTTAAACCTTTTTCAAGGCGCAAAAAATCTTTCTCAACAATTCGTAGCGGGAATACTCAAAAACATACTTAGAGTAATGTGTTTATTCTGAAAAACATCTGGAATATTTGAAGAATGCAATACTTTGAGTGTCTTATGAGGAACGTGGTTGTTCCCTGTTCGGCAGGTAATCTTTGAATTGACATTGTAAATGAATACATTTATTTCCTAATGTCTCTTCTATGGTTGACTTTATTATATCATCCCACGATTTATGGGTTAAGAGGGGTATGGTTGGATAGAGGAGAATAACAGATAGTTGATGCTTTTAGCTGCATAGGTTTAGGGGCATTCTTTTTTTCCGGTGCCTCTCAAATCCTTTGTCACAGTGTCATTCAGTTTCAGTGCTACTAATAAAAAAGGTAGAAATATATATATACCATATACAAACATACAAACATGCAGACGTACAGGCCTATGCTTCACGGGCCTAGGCTTAAATCAATCACTGGGCTCATGTTGCTACGTTTCCCTGCTACAACCGTTTCTACTATAGTTTAATTAGCACGTTGTTACGATTTGCGACACTACCGACAACGAGTATCCGACAAGGATTTTAACGGTTCTTAGGTACTCAACAATGCATCATGAGAAGGGATGACATATGTACATATGTTCGAAACAACTAACTTCTCAACCTTTCTCGGTTCTTCTCTGCCACAAAACCGCAACAAATTCTCAGTCGCTAGTCGGCAGCACTTGGGGATAAGACTAAGATAATTGAGTTTAATTGAAGTTTGCACCGCGACCAAGGGTCTATTGTGCCCTCTCCTCTATCACATAAGTATATACACAAAGGCCCAGCACTCTGATGAATTCCAGGTACTTGCTGGGCGCTATTGAGGTGATGTGATCTCTATCCACATAAATGAATCGAAGCTTTGAGCATGCATTTACAAGTGCAATCTAGAATCAGGTGCTCAAGACTGCCGGTTGCACAAGCAGACATGCCCACGTTGGACAAGTGTTTATTGAGCATGCAGTACCCAGTATAGAGTGCGACTAGTAGACCGAATTTGCCTCGGGGGAGGTTAATTATGTCTATAAACCTTGCTAAATTGTAACCTCGCAATAGCAGCTTTGCATTGCGCATACCTATTTCTTGCTGCTAGTAAATTTATCTGCAGACTCTTTTCTCCGTGCAGAGTAGCTTCGTTATCATATGGTCCTCACCGCAATGCAGGGTTCTGGTCATCATCCTAGAAGCCGCAGCAAAGCGGGCGAGTTCGTCGGCCAGCTCGTTGCTTTTATGCCGCGGCACTCAGGACGTGTACACGGTTGCAGACCAATAGGCTGTTCAACCTACCTATGCACTCCTCCACAAATAGCGATTTAATGTCAGAGGCTGAAATCGCTTTTAGCGCCGCTTGACTGTCGCTGAGTATGGCGATATGCTGGTTGCGTTGGAGATTAATTTCTGCACACTGACTTACAGTAAAGACTTTTGCATAAAAAATGCTCGGAAAACATCCCATGGGTAAGTAAAGCTTGGTGTGCGGTCCTGCAATACCTGTTCCAGTGTCCTCCGATGTCTTCGAGCCGTCAGTGTACCACTGAATTCTGCTGCCAATTAACCCGACCGTATTCCCGAGAGTGTTCTTACATTTGCCATTATGACATCGTCGTCTACGTACCCTTGACACCAAATCCCATTGTTTGTAAGCAACTCAAGGAGCTCATCTACTATGAGGATCCGTAGAAGGGGAGACAGTACCCCGCCCTCTCATAGTACCAAGACGAAATTTGCTCTCCTCACAGTGTCCGTTCGATTATTAAATTACTTGCAGCTGTCTAATCCGTGCGATCTGACATATGTGCGACCACTGGTGAAATTAAGTCATCACGTACTGTCTCCAAAAAATGTGCAATCAAGAAAAAGTGTCATTGCCTTTTCCTCTGCGCTGATAGTATAAGTTCCATCAAATCTTTTTATGGCTAACTGACAGCACAGTCTTGCCTCTAGGCAGAGTCTGTGCAGCATGGCTGCCTGGCAAGGATCTCTTTTCTAGTGCTGGTGACGAAGGTGGGTTCACAACCCGCATTCTCAATGTTTAAATTGCCACTTATATTCAAAAAAAGACTCCCTCACCTCTCGGGTTGCAGTCCGTCTTTCACTAGAGAGATCCCAGATTACCTTGATTATGTTTGTATCGAAGCCCTTCCTCTCTTCTATAAGTCCACGGTTCCTAAATTAATAGAATGTGTAAGTTATCTGCGTGAAACCTACTCGCGATAACAGCCAAGGCTGCAGTCGCGTTGGGTAGGTTCACCTGAATGGACCTATGAAAGAAAAATCCTCGTCATCTTTGTCGCAATCCTGTTCCATTAGCTCTTCCAGGAGCTTCTGTATGGAGAGTAGTTCCACCGTGATTCTGTGCATGGACGGTATTTCTTCGCCCCTCTTCGCGCAAAGAACTGGGTTTTTCGTGTCTTCGAGCTTCGGATCGGTCTCCGCTTGCCAGGTTGCTCTCCTTTCGTCCTTACAGTTGACTAACAGCAGAACTGACCAAAAGTATAAACATGCAATGAGGCGGGGTACTCACACCCCCTGTATATCTCATCCATGATGATTTCCTCTTCTGTTTGCGTACGCCTTCCGCCCCGTCTCGTTAAACATTTTTTTGGCAATTTACAAGACAAATAGCCGGTCGGTCATCCTTAGCTTCCAGGTATCTGCTTGAAGCTTCTTCTAATATCAAGAGAACATTTTTGCGTTACGTTAACGACATTCACAGTGAAGCTATTATCACTTTCACTGACTCCCTCCCAATGAATGACTTCCTTGCAGTACAACCATAACCCATTGCAGAAGAAGAGCTCGAGTTGCTTCGCGAATTAGGAGTGACCATCGTAACTTCGTTACGTATACAGCAGTAAGTTAAACTCCTACTTATCCAGAATCGACGCGAGAAAAGCCACTGACAACCGTATTTGCTATTGCGTTTGTTTTTTACACTCTTCGCTTTTATTTGTACAGATTTGTGATGATCTTACTTATCAAAAAATGTATAAGTAAAACAAAAACTTATAACAAGTAGTGACAAGTACAACAAATGGACATGATCAGTAGCCAGTGTACCTATGTATGTTGGTATTTGATCTTTAGAGTTTGCGAGCGAGAGCGTTGTTTATTGAAAACTGTTAACATTTTGTTGTGTTTTATGTATGGTGTACGCATTTTAGAAGTGTTTTATTCGTTTTAAAATATTTTTAGCACACATATCGATCAAATATTTTTTGTTAAAATTACAGACAATTTATAATAAGTTATGTTTGAATAAAACCCTTCAATGTTTATCAATGGTTATCAATATATCAACACAGTTGTCCTCACAGTTGAAAAAGTCGGAGGAGCGTATATAGATGCGGGTGACTTCACAAAAAACGGAGGTGCCCTCACAGATTTCGGAGAAGTAGGATTAAAATAAGCCTAACGTAGATGGGTTGAAAAATTGACGCGAGCTACAATCGGCCAATAATGTTAACAACCTCTGCAAAAGTTAAAACTCCATCATGACGGGACATTCCCGTTCCATGTTTTTAAGACACAATTAAAGAAAACAGCCGCTGCAAATAGTTAGAACTCTGAAGATAAAGTCGCTTAATAATTCGTTGCAATAAAAGGATCCGAAGGCGGAAAAAATCTTTCTCCTGAACAATTCGTAGCGGGAATACTCAAAAACATACTTAGAGTAATGTGTTTATTCTGAAAAACATCTCGAAGATTTTAAGAATGCAATACTTTGCCT